ACCAGATAGATTTAATTGATATTTATAGGACATTCCATCCAAAAACAGCAGATTACACTTTCTTCTCAAGTGCGCATGGAACATTCTCCAGGATAGATCACATCTTGGGTCACAAATAAAGCCTCAGTAAATTTTAGAAAATTGAAATCATATCAAGCATCTTCTCTGACCACAATGCTATGAGATTAGAAATGAATCACAGGGAAAAAAACATAAAAAACACAAACACATGGAGGCTAAACAATACGTTACTAAATAACCAAGAGATAACTGAAGAAATCAAAGAGGAAATCAAAAAATACCTAGAGACAAATGACAATGAAAACACGACGATCCAAAACCTATAGGATGCAGCAAAATCAGTTCTAAGAGGGAAGTTTATAGCTATACAAGCCTACCTCAAGAAACAAGAAAAATCTCAAATAAACAATCTAACCTTACACCTAAAGGAACTAGAGAAAGAAGAACAAACAAAACCCAAAGTTAGCAGAAGGAAATAAATCAAAAAGATCAGAGCAGAAAAAAATGAAATAGAAACAAAGAAAACAATAGAAATGTCAATAAAACTAAAAGCTGATTGTTTGAGAAGATAAACAAAATTGATAAACCATTAGCCAGACTCAACAAGAAAAAGAGGGAGAGGACTCAAATCAATAAAATTAGAAATGAAAAAGGAGAAGTTACAACAGACACTGCAGAAATACAAAGCATCCTAAGAGACTACTACAAGCAACTCTATGCCAGTGAAATGGACAACCTGGAAGAAATGGACAAATTCTTAGAAAGGTATAACCTTCCAAGACTGAACCAGGAAGAAACAGAAAATATGAACAGACCAATCACAAGTAAAGAAATTGAAACTGTGATTAAAAATCTTCCAACAAACAAAAGTCCAGGACCAGATGGCTTCACAGGTGAATTCTATCAGACATTTAGAGAAGAGCTAACACCCATCCTCCTCAAACTCTTCCAAAAAACTGCAGAGGAAGAAACACTCCCAAACTCATTCTATCAGGCCACGATCACCCTGATACCAAAACCAGACAAAGATACTACAAAAAGAGAAAATTACAGACCAATATCACTCATGAATATACATGCAAAAATCCTCAACGAAATACTAGCAAGCAGAATCCAACAACACATTTAAGGGATCATACACCATGATCAAGTGGGGTTTATCCCAGGGATGCAAGGATTCTTCAGTATATGCAAATCAATCAATGTGACAAACCATATTAACAAATTGAAGAATAAAAACCACATGATCATCTCAATAGATGCAGAAAAAGATTTTGACAAAATTCAACACCCATTTATGATAAAAACCCTCCAGAAAGTGGGCATAGAGGGAACCTACCTCAACATAATAAAGGCCATATATGACAAACCCCCAGCCAACATCATTCTCAATGGTGAGAAACTGAAAGCATTTCCTCTAAGACTAAGAACAAGACAAGGATGTCCACTCTCACCACTATTATTCAACATAATTTTGGAAGTCCTAGCCACGGCAATCAGAGAAGAGAAAGAAATAAAAGGAATACAAATTGGAAAAGAAGAAGTGAAACTGTCACTGTTTGCAGATGACATGTTACTATACATACAGAATCCTAAAAATGCCACCAGAAAACTACTAGAGCTAATCAATGAATTTTGTAAAGTTGCAGGATACAAAATTAATGCACAGAGATCTGTTGCATTCCTATACACTAACAACGAAAGATCAGAAAGAGAAATTAAGGAAACAATCCCATTCACCACTGCAACAAAAAGAATCAAATACCTAGGAATAAACCTACCTAAAGAGGTAAAAGACCTGTATGCAGAAAACTATAAGACACTGATGAAAGAAATCAAACACGACACAAACAGATGGAGAGAGATATACCATGTTCTTGGACTGGAAGATCAATATTGTGAAAATGACTATACTACCCAAAGCAAGCTACAGATTCAATGCAATCCCTATCAAATTACCAATGGCATTTTTTACAGAACTAGAACAAAAAATCTTAAAATTTGTATGAAGACACAAAAGACCCCGAATAACCAAAGCAATATTGAGGGGAAAAAAACAGAGCTGGAGGAATCAGACTCCCTGACTTCAGACTATACTACAAAGCTACAGTAATCAAGACAATATGGTACTGGCACAAAACCAGAAATATATATCACTGGTACAGGATAGAAAGCCCAGAGATAAACCCACGCACCTATGGTCAACTAATCTATGACAAAGGAGGCAAGGATATACAATGCAGAAAAGACAGTCTCTTCAATAAGTGGTGTTGGGAAAACTGGAAAGTTACATGTAAAAGAATGAAATCAGAACACTCCCTAACACCATACACAAAAATAAGCTCAAAATGGATTAGAGACCTAAATGTAAGACCGGACACTATAAAACTCTTAGAGGAAAACATAGGCAGAACACTCTTTGACATAAATCACAGCAAGATATTTTTTGATCCACTTCCTAGAGTAATGGAAATAAAAACAAAACAAACAAGTGGGACCTAATGAAACTTTTGCAAAGCAAAGGAAACTACAGTCAAGATGAAAAGACAACCCTCAAAATGGGAGAAAATATTTGCAAATGAATTAACGGACAAAGGATTAACCTCCAAAATATATAAACAGCTCATGCAGCTCAATATTAAGAAAACAAACAACCCAATCAAAAAATGGGCAGAAGACCTAAACAGACATTTCTCCAAAGACATACAGATGGCCAAGAAGCACATGAAAAGCTGCTCAACATCACTAGTTATTAGAGAGATGCAAATCAAAACTACAATGAGGTATCACCTCACACCAGTTAGAATGGGCATCATCAGAAAATCTACAAACAACAAATGCTGGAGAGGATGTACAGAAAAGGGATCCCTCTTGCACTGTTGGTGGGAATGTAAATTGACACAGCCACTATGGAGAACAGTATGGAGATTTCTTAAAAAACTAAAAATAGAATTACCATATGACCCAGCAATCCCATTACTGGGTGTATACCCAGAGGAAACCATAATTCAAAAAGAAACATCCACCCCAATATTCGTTGCAGCACTGTTTGCAAGAGCCAGGTCATGGAAGCAACCTAAATGCCCGTCAACAGACAAATGGATAAAGAAGATGTGGTACATATATACAATGGGATATTACTCAGCCATAAAAAGGAATGAAATTGGGTCATTTGTAGAGACGTGGATGCATCTAGAGACTGTCACACAGAGTGAAGTAAGTCAGAAAGAGAAAAACAAATATCCTATATTAATGCATATATGTGGAACCTAGAAAAATGGTTCAGATGAGCAGGTTTGCAAGGATGAAGTAGAGACACAGATGTAGAGAACAAACGTATGAACACCAAGGGGGGAAACTGACGGTGGGGGGTGGTGATGGTGGGATGAATTGGGAGATTGGGGTTGACATATATACACTAATATGAATAAAATAGATAACTAGTAAGAACCTGCTGTATAAAAAATAAGTGAAATAAAATTTAAAAATTTTTAAAAGAGAGAGAAAGGGAAATATCCCCAATTAAATGAGGAAGTCAAAAAGGGAACTGGGAGGAATGGATTGATCCCTTTTTCACATAAAATATTAATTATTCTAAAGCAGAGTTGCTGTGCCAAAGGCTGATCTGAGTCCTTTATCAATCTCTCAGCCCCCTGTAGAATGTGATTTGGACATTGACCCTGTTACATTGTTAGTTACATGCTCTACACAGGTACCTTCAAGACCCTCCATTCCACAAAGATTGCCCCCGATAAGCCGCTTTCTCTATGTGTATCCTGGAGGTCCCACTAAACTCAGTGACAGTATCTGGAGACAATCCTGAAAAACTTGGGTGACCATCGCTAACCAGCACAGAGCTGGCTCACAATAGGGCCCCAGTTAAAATGTTACAAATACAACTGGGTCAAACCTTTAAAGCACGAAATTAAAACAATCCTCCTAAGGAAGGAAATCTGAGTTTCAAAAGAGGAACTTCATATTGAGTATCTAACCAGCAACTGATGATGATATTCACAGATGAATCTGATTGGTTCTCCAAAACTGAGACGACCCAATCCAGGAACAAAGAAATGAGTTCCTTTGTTGGTAATATTTGAGATGTGGGTTGGAGGAGGGTCCTAGTCCTAACTGAGATTTGTCTGCTCCCCTGCACCCTGTTTTCTTCTCTTCTCCTGCATGGTGTGCCTTTGGTTCCCCGCAGGCTCCTGGACAGTAATACTGACAGTGATACTGATGGTGCTGAACCCACTCCTGGCTTGGGCTGGAGAGGTAAATGCACACCTTGGATGGTGAGTTATTTTGGGGGGTGGGGGAAGGGAGGGAGTTAGCTTTGTCTGGGTCGAGGCCATGTCACTGAAAACACCGACATCTTCAGTGACTACTTACCTTTGCATATGGATCCTCAACTCCTTCCACAAACAAAAGGAGCCTGGATAGTTGCCCTCTTTATAAGACCAGCATAAGGTGCCTTCGTATATATACATATAGGCTATTTCTTGTCAACTCTCTTCTAATAAAACCTCTCCAGCCTTATATCCCATTCCCTCGGGGTTTTGAGAGGATTTAGAAATGCTTTCAAAAATAATCTAAAATGATTATTAAGGATTTCAAAATAATTCCCATCCATGGTTCCTTTATTCTGTTGAGTTATGGCAGAAAATGGGGAAAATCCTCTGAAAATTTTATGGGGACTCAAAAGGAATTAGAAATATCTCTCCTAGAAGATCCTGTGTTATGTCCATGGGATCTGTGATGCGGCTACCTCTCGCTAATACGTGAGGATGTATCAAGAGACCTCACCATTGTCTCCTTTTCTTTTCTTTTTTTTAAGTTGAAGTATAGTTGATTTATAATATCGAGTTAGTTTCAGGTGTACAGCACAGTGATTCATTTATATATATATTATATATATATTCTTTTACAGATTCTTTTCCCTTATAGGTTATTACAAAATATTGAGTAGAGTTCCCTGTGCTGTACAGTAGGTCCTTGTTGGTTATCTATTGTCTCCTTTTCTTTCTCCCTAAACCCCGCTGTTTATAAGGCCCGTATGCCTGTACTGGAGGTACTCTGACAAAAGCTAGGGTTAGTTTTCTCCCTATTTCTCCTGCATAAAGCACTCTGGACCTGAAGCAGGGATCCTTAGTACTGAGAATGACCCTGTAGTTAAGGAGCATCTAAGGGGCATTCTATGATGCCTTAAAGAACTCATAAGAACTGAAAACCTGACACAGGTTAGTGCTTATTCTATTTTGAACCTTTCTATCCTATCAGTTTCTCCTATATCTCCTCTTTCTCTGGCCTGAACCCACAGAAGAGATTCAACTAGTATAGAATAAATTATGAAATTATATTTTTATAAACCCCAAATAGTCAAATATCAACAATTTCATATGGTTCAAACCATACACCCTGAGCAGGATACAGAGCATGTGAAGGCTGTTTCCATCCCATAGGGCTGAAAGCCAGTAAGGAAATCAAGGGAACTCATTGGCCTCTTGGAGTCTTGGGCCCAAATTTCATAGGTTCATTCATCGTGCCATCTATTTTCCATAATTAGCCATCTTTGGTTACCTCTCCTTCCAGTTTTTCCCTATTCTTTCCCCTACTATGTCATCACCGTTACTAAAAATCCCCAGTTTGCACAAACCCTCAGCACTATAACAGACGCATTGGATGAAATGAAACTTCATGAAATGTTCCCTATCTCTTAAAAATCACCTTTTCCTTCCCTGTGAATGTTTCTTCCAAGTAGTAAGAGGAGAAAGAGGAAGTTAGTCTGCATTTCTCACAGGAAAGTAGAAGAGACATAAGGTGTCATGATTACAAAAGTGTGTTGGACTGAAGCCCCTTCTTGCTTTACCAGGAGCCCCACAAAATCAATTCCCAAAACTATGGCTTTATTCATTTCGAGGACAAATACTTTTTTGAGCAACTATTATATACTGGGCTCTGTCCTAGGCGCAGAGGATTCTATTTGAATAACAGAAAAAATGTCCCTTTTGATCATGGAAGTTACCTAATGACAAGAGAGAAAGACAACAACCCAATAAGCATTGAACCAAGAAAAACATTTCAAACAGCAATAAATGCTCTGAAAAAATATATAAAGGTTAAGGGACTGAGAAAATTGTATTCACCTGACTTCAGTGCAAGTGTCTAGAGGGCTCTCCCTGTGACATTCAATTGAGACATAAATGATGAGAATAAGCCAGACATGGGAAGGATCTAAAGGACAAATGCTCCAGGGAGAGGGACTAGGGGAAAGGTCAAAGTGTGGGAAGTTGTTTGCTGTGTTTAAGGGACGGAAAGAAGTTAGAGGAGCTGAAGCAGAGAAAGCAAGTTGGGGAGTGGAATAAGATGAGGTTAGAAAGAAAGTCAGGAGTCAAATCATGTTAGGCCCTGATGGCCATAGTGAGAAATTTGAGTTTTATTTACAGAGCTATGTGAAGCTACTAAGGGGTTACAAGGAGAGTCCATTTATATGTATTTTAAAAACTAATTCTAGCTACCGCATGGAGATTGGACTGCAGGGGTTCCAAGTGAAGTTACAGAGACCAGTTAGGGGAGAGTAGAAGGGTTCTCCAGGGAAGATGTGCCTGTGACTTCATTTAGTGTAGTAGCGATGAAGTGAACAGATTTGGGATAGATTGTTGAGTGACTTGTTAATGAATTAAATGGTGCGAGTTGGAAGATAGAAAATCAAAAGCTTATCCCTCAGGATTTTGTCTTGCATGATAACTAGGTGGATGGTGGTGCTGTTTATTGAGATAGGGAGGACTATGGACCAGTACATCTCCTTAGACTGGATCCAAAAGTCACCTAATTAATATCAAAGACTCATTTATTGATTTTACCCCTTAGGAAATTTCCAGGGTTTTAGGAGACCTGTGGCAGAAACGGGGATGAAGAACAAATACATGTTTCTTATCATTAATCACAATATCACAGTGACTAATTGCCAAGGCAAAGAAATCAGTCAACTTTGGTTGGACTGAACAAATTTATTTTATTGGAAAAAACAGCTCTTCACTGGGACTGGCTTCCCAAAAAACATATTTCATGTAGGACCAAGATTTTCAACAGATATAATATTGGCAAATTTTTCTATGTCACTCTCAGCTGCTCCATACTTGAGAGTGGTTTCTCCAGGACAGTTTTTTCATATGATTTACATCCATGGTTCTCACCCAGCGGCAGCTCAGCACTCTTTCTCCCCGTTCCTTCAAGCCGCCAAACAACATTGGCTCCAGATACCACCATTTTTAGTTGTCACACAGGGGGTTTCTTTTGACAACTAGTGGGTAGAGGCCAGGAAAGCTGATAGATAGGCTACTATGCACAGAACAGCTCCCTCTCCCCAGCCACAAAGAACCACCTGGCCCAAAATGTCTATAGTGCTGAGGTTGAAAACACTGCTTTATATACACTATGCTGCTTCTAAAAATTCTAGACTTACACTTTCTACACACATTCACCTTCCAGTTCAGCTCTTCTTGGTTTTATTTAGCTTGTGTCATTACCCCCAAAACTAGACAGTTGAACAAATTCATTACTTTCTTGTTGAATCCATTCAATCAAAACAAGTTCAAGACCTTCATTTTTATTTTTCGCCTTACGCCATGTTTTTCAAAATGTCACGAGTTCTTGGTCATCACATCTCTATTTGATTTCAACAACTTGTCTTTTTAAGTCACAAATAGTGGTGGCTGCTACAATATTTTTCAGTAAAATGCCTCAAATTTCTGCAGCAATGCTACTTTCCACACTCTTAATGATATCAGAAACTTCCATTTATTCTTCTTACTTTTAACCACAGGGTTATTCTTTAACTCTTTTTGACATTTTCACAATTCAACTAAATCTAAAGACAAAAATATTTTCATTTTTGAAAGAAACAAAAACACTCATTTGAAAACATACATGCAACCCAATGTTCACTGCAGCATTATTTTAAAATATCCAAGATGCAGAAGCAACCTAAGTGTCCATCAACAAATGAATGGGTAAAGATGTGGTTTGTATATATATATATACACACACACACACACACACACATACACACACACAGTGGACTATTACTCATCCATAAAAAAGAATGAAATTCTGCCATTTGCAACAATGTGGATGGACCTACAGAGTATTATGGTTAGTGGAATAAGTCAGACAGAGAAAGTCAAATACTCTGTGTTATCACTTATAAGTGGAATCTAAAAAAATAAAACAAATGTATATGACAAAACAGAAACAGACTCACAAATACAAAGAGTGAACTAGTGGCTACAAGTGGGGAAATGGAAGGGGGGAGGGGCAAGATAAAGGTATGGGATTAAGAGATACAAACTACTATGAATAAAATAAATAAGCAACAAGATATACTGTACAACACAGGGAAATATAACCATTATTTTGCAATAACTTTAAATGGAGTATAAACTTTAACAATATTGAATCATTATGTCGTACACTTGGAACTAACATAATGTCAATGATACTGTAATTTAATACCAAAAAATCAAAAATATGTGCATTCATATGATATATATGTGTATATTTATGTCTATATGTATCTTTACACACAGTGAAGCTACAGAACCACATGTAACCAATAAGAGCTCTGAGACACGTTTGACCCCTTCCCTCAGCAGGTCAGATTTGCCAAACGAATTTTAGCAGCAAATTTTTAGAAAATCTGATTTTCTGAGCTGTCCAGATTTGGAAATGCAGAAAAGGGATTGTGGACCTGTATTGGGGTTATGGTTTTAATCTCCTAAAACTCGTCAATAGTTCTCATTACGTTCAGCATAAAGTCAAAATCCTAATGTCACCTACAAGGATTTTAAGTGCCTGGTTCCATGTGATTTTTCCAGTCTAATCTTTTCCCCTCCTTCCTCTCACTCTCTGTGCTTCAGTGAACTTTCTAGAGGAAGTTCATCAATTCTTTCAGCTTTTCCACGCAGTATTACTGTTACCTAAAATGTGTCTCTCTTTTTCCCCTAAACACACACACACACACACACACACACACACACACACACACACACACTTCCTCTAGCTCACATCCACATAACCTTTTATGTTACCACTTAAAGTGGTCTTCAGAGACCACTTCTCTGGCACCCTAACCTAATTTAGGTCATCCTATCATTCTCTGCTATAGAACGCCACACTTTTATCCTGACATTTCTCACTTCTGTATAAATTCTTGCGTGTTTGGCTTTTGTCCATCACTTTCACTAAATTTTAAGCTCCACAAGTAGAGGGGAGATGGCTGTGTTCCCTTCCTTGGAGTCCCAAGGGACAGCGAAGTTTGGACACAAGCACAGCCCTAACCAAGTACTTACAGAATGAAGGAGGCTCCTAAGAGGAGATGGTGATGGGGCAAATCCGGGTCCAGTTCACACTTGGAGATGTCCAGGCGAGCATGGAAGCCAAGTGGCGCCCGAATGGCTCAGGAGCAGAGGGGTCTCTTCCGCCCAGCACGTCTTTCCTCCACCGATGGCAGGTGGAAGATGAACCCGTGGGGTGCCGGTAGAGCCTCCGAGGGAGTCCTAGCGCCCCCCACCTGCGCCCGGGCACCTGTCATCGGTGGGCGTCACCGCCAGTCTCTTCCCTTGCGCCCGGGTGACAACATCATTCCTGTCCCCACAGCACTTTTCATGATGCAGGTAAAGTCCGAGTGTCATTTCTCCAACAGCACGCGGCAGGTGCACTTCCTGGACAGGTACATCTATAACGGGGAGGAGCTGATGCGCTTCCACAGCCACGTCGGGGAGGACCTGGCGGTGGGCGAGCTGGGGCGGCCGGCCGCGGAGCTCTGGAACCGCCAGAAGGATGCCCTGCAGCGGGCGCGGGCCGCCGTGCACACCTTCTGCAGGATCAACTGCAAGTTCTTGGAGAGCAGCACCGTGCGGCGGCGAGGTCGGGGAGGTGGGGGGCGGTGACAGAGACAGAGAGACACAGAGACAGAGGGACTGAGTCCAGGGTGAGTGTGTAGGATTGTGGACACCTACAAGTTACGAGGGTACACGTGAGAGCCTTCTGTGGGAAAACTAAAGTGAGGTTTTGTAGACGTGTGCTGGTGAGAGGGGAGAGAGTGTGTGTATGGTGGGGGGAGTGGGCCTGGGGTCTGAGAGGACCGGGAGGGAGGCGGGTATGGGGAGAGGGATGCAGGAGGGAGGGCTCCAGGCATCCTCCGCTGCCGCCCTGGGAGAGTCTGGGTGAGGGGAGACGGAGGAAAAGGCTGACTGGGGTGGGTGGTCCGACATGCGGGAAGGGACCTCCAGGCGTCTGTGCTTGGGGGAGGGGAGGGGAGGAATGTAAGAGGCTTGGGAGAAGGTGAGAGGAGCCCCAGTCTGCTCTGGTCACACACCCTCTTACTCCTGAAACCCCTGAAATAAATGTGCCGGCGTGGCGTCTGTGTGCAGGCGCGTTTCTTTGAGAATGAAATTTGTGAGGGAGACTAATCTCTAGGGGTGCAGCGGAGAAGAACCTCCCACTCACCTCCGACCTTTCTGAGGCTACTTTTAGGTCTAAATTTCCAACTACTCTTCTGCTTTCTTAGTGTGTATATTTTTACATATTTGAAATGATTGTGATATAATTTTGTCACTTTATAATACCATACTGATGTGACTATTTTTATAATGCTAATAGTACTTAAGTAGTTGTGCTTTCCCTTTGTATGGTTGTAAGCAATTTAACTCACATTCCCCATTGTTAGATTTTAGTTTCCCTATTGCCACTTAGTTAGAAATTTATATCTTATTATTTTTAACTTACATTTTAACTTACATTTCTTTTATTTCTAAAGGTCTTCTCTCTTTTTTTCCCCCCCAGTTGTAATGACTGCCCAAAGCATTATCTATTAATCTGTTGCCACTAGGGTCCTAGTGTTTTTCTCAGTAATTTTATGGGTTGTCTATGCAGTAAGATTATTAACACTTTGCTGATACTTGATTCAACATTTTCTCCAGTTTGTGGTTTCTATTAGATTCTGTTCAATATTTTCCATGTTGAGAATTTAACATTTTTTACTTACTGAAATAGAAACTGAAAAATTGTGACTAATGATTTACCATCGATCTTAAATCTGCTATTTTGTGGTACTGTACAAATGTGTCCCCCATTTCTCCTTTCTTTTTTTTTTAATTAATTAATTTATTTACTTATTTTATTTTGACTGTGTTGGGTCTAGTTGCCACACAAAGGCTTCTCTAGTTGTGGCACGCAGGCTTAGTTGCAGTATGTGGGATCTTAGTTCCCCAACCAGGGATCAAAACCCAGGCCCTGAGCATTGGGAGGGTGGAGTCTTAACCACCGGACCTCCAAGGAAGTCCCTCTCCTTTCTTTTAAAATAATTGTATTTATTGAGGGCCTGAGAGTACTAGAGGCTGTCTCAGATGTGAAGAGTCCCCGACCCTGCCCTGATCTCAAATGTCAGTTTAGAAGGAGAGAGAATTCTAAAACGATAACAATTAAAAAATTAGATGTGGCTTTTTTTTGGGGGGGGGGGGGGAAGAGCAAGAGAGAGAGAGAGATCCATCCGCTGAGTATAAAACAATAAAAACTTTTTAAATGATTAACTTTCCTTGTTCCTTTTCCTCTTCAGGATTCATGCTTTCCTTGAGACACACCTCATAGAGTTAGAGAATGACCTCTGTCTGTTTCTGCTTCTCAGGGGAAGAACCATTTCTGTGCTGTTCTAAGATGTGAGTCCATTGAGGCAGTGTAACCAGGATTTCACACTCTACATCTCTATCTACCCCACTACTGTTCCCTAATTTATCCTTAAGCTGTGAATCACACTTTCTTTCACAGTAAAAACATTCAATAAGTAACTGACATATACTGAAGGCTAAGTTCTGGCCATTTCCTTTTTTTCTTTCTTGGCCTCCCTGTGCAGCTTGTGGGACTTTAATTCCCTGACCAGGGACTGAACCTGGACCTTCAGCAGTGAGAGCACAGAGTCCTAACCACTGGACCGCCAGGGAATTCCCCCAGCCATTTCTTTACATAGTTTTATGTTTAAGTCCATTAACTCTTTTTTTTAAATATGATGATCAATATTTTTTATTGAAGTATAGTTGATTTACAGTGTTGTGTTAATCTCTTCTGTACAGCAAAGTGATTCAGCTATACATACATACATCCTTTTAAAAATATTCTTTTCCATTATGGTTTATCATAGGATATTGAATATAGTTCTCTGGGCTATACAGTAGGACCTTGTTGTTTATCCATTCCATATACAGTATAATAGCTTACATCTGCTAACCCCAGCCTCCCACTCCATCCCTCCCCCAGCCCCGCCCTCCTTGGAAACCACAAGTCTGTTCTCTATGTTCGTGAGTCTGTTTCTCTTTCGCAGATAAGTTCATTTGTGTCATATTTTAGATTTCACATATAAGTGATATCATACGGTATTTGTCTTTCTCTTTCTGACTTACTTCACTTAGTATGATCATCTCTAGGTCCATCCATGTTGCTGCAAATGGCATTGTTTCGTTCTTTTTTATGGCTGAGTAGTATTCCATTGTATATATGACTCATTTAACTTGAAGAGGTAAATTCATATCATTATCCTCCTTTAGAGGAGAGAAAACTGAGGCACAGAGGGATTTAAAAACTCTCCCAGGATTAACCAGTTAGAACTAGAGCTTGGATTTGAACCCAGGCAGCCTAGTTACAGAAATCACCCTTTTTTTGAATGCACCCTGTGTCTTGCAAAATTTGTAAATACTTCAACAATAAGTAACTGTTTCAAATTATGAAAAGAAACCCCACAATTTTGCTCAACATCTCTCAACTCTAATAGGCCCTGTTTTAGGGGGTCAATTCAAGACCCATGACACTGACTTCTCCTAAGCCACATGGCAGCCTGGCCTGCCCAAGGCTGCATCTGGTCAGGAGACTTACTGTCTCCCTCGCTATTCCCTCTACGTTTTCTCTCCTACTGGAGCCTACAGTGACTGTGTATCCTGCAAAGACCCAGCCCCGGTGGCACCACAGCCTCCTGGTCTGCTCTGTGAATGGTTCCTATCCAGGCCACACTGAAGTCAGGTGCTTCCAGAATGGCCAGGAAGAGGAAGCGGGGGGTGGTCTCCACAGGCCTGATCCCTAATGGAGACTGGACCTTCCAGACCATGGTGATGCTTGAAATAGTTCCTCAGAGTGGAGAGGTCTACACCTGCCACGTGGAGCACACCAGCTGGATGAGCCCTGTCACAGTGGAATGGAGTGAGAAGCTTTCTGACCTCAAAAATTCCTTACCCATCAGGGACGAGACTTGCTTACCCCCGAGTGTCAGGTTTCTCCTCTCCCCACAGCATATGTGCATTTTCTCCATATTCTTCTCTCCTTCAGCTTTGGTTATTGGGGCTGCCCTGTGATATCCTGTGATAGAAATCCCCTGATAGTTTACAGACATCCCGTGATGGTTTCTACAAATACCTATACTCCCTGGGGAGGCAGTTCTGCTTGACAAGCAAAATAGAGGATGTCCCTGTTTTGAGCCTCCCATGACATCACAGGCTATGGTCACCCCTTGGCCCTGGGCACCAGTCCCCTGTGTCGGGCTGGGCTTGTGCTTCTGACACTCCTGCTCTGAGTTGTTATTGTGACCTGAGAAGGGGCACATACTCTACAGGGATGTTCCTGTCCTGAGGGGAGTTCAATCTCATCCAGTCCCAGGCTCCTCGTCCATCAGATGTTGAAGACATGTGGCCTTATGCCAGGACTGTGATATTTAAACGATTCACTGCCTGAACCTTGTAGCCATTCCTTTTCTAGGAATGGCCAATTATTCTAGTTCTTTCGTATCAGGCTTCTCCCCGCAGTCAAAGCTCTCAGAGTCTCAGAGAAGTTGGATTCAGGGTAAAAATCACCCAAACTAGCTTCTTTTCTCAGGGACATGGTATGAACCTTCACGAGGCAAGATGCTGAGTAGAATTGGGGCCTGTGTTATGGGTCTGCTCTTCCTTGGGGTGGGGCTGCGCTTAGTCAGGAATTAAAATGGTAAGGAAGCTGTTAGCAGCTGAGATGCCCTGTAGGTTTCTTGGAGGAAGAAATATGGCTTTGCTCAGTGAGTTCTCTGAATATCGATGACCCTATCCTACAGGGTCATCATACAGGGTCATCGATATTCAGAGAACACATGGAGCAACCTTTACCTAGTCAATCTCAAATTTCCTGGAAATCCAAATCAACAGTCCGCCGTTATTTATGAGTGAAATATAAGAGGTGATGGCCTGTACAGATAAGAGAAGGGTTATCATGCATGGAGATCTCAGATGGAGATCCTGGGGCAAATGCAGGAAGAGACGCTAAGCCTGATGAAATGATGCTGGGTTTACGTGACGGAAGCTTCCTAGGTCACATGCTCTCAGTGTCTGCTCTCCTCTCCACCCTGGCATCGGGTGATACGGATGGTGATGTAGAGAAATCTCAGGTGGGAGCGCGGAGTCAGGGGCTGGGGACACTGTACCCGGGAACAGACTTGCCTCCGTATCTTTTAAGTATACATCCTCCCTTCCCTTTCCTAGGATACTCTAGACTTCAGCCAACAGGTAATGCCCTTTCATCCTCTTTTAGAGATAGATTTGGTCTCCTAGAAATGGTGGTGGAGATGACAAGACAGGAGACAGACAAAATGAGAAAGACTTTGAATTCTGATTAGGCGGTTTGCAATAAAGCTTTGCACCAGCTAATAGGAGAACAGACTTGTGTTTGCCAAGGGGGAGGGGGTGGGGGAGGGCTGGATTGGGAGTTTGGGGTTAGCAGATGCAAACTATTACATATAGGATGGATAAACAACAAGGTCCTACTGTATAGCACAGGGAACTATATTTAGTATCTTGGGATAAACCATAAGGGAAAAGAAAATGTGTGTGTGTGTGTGTGTGTGTGTGTGTAACTGAATCACTTTGCTATACAGCAGAAATGAACACAGCATTGTAAATCAACTACACTTCAGTTATAAATAAATAAATGAATAATATAAGAGGCCTGTGCTCTAGAGTATCCTTGGCTCAGGGAGGCTTAAGAATGATTTCCCCCTTCTTACTACAGGGCTTTAACGTGAGGCCCCCAAAAAGAGAGAAAGCAGCAGCATGAAGAGGTAGGTCTGGAAACAACCCTCTCCTCTGTCTCCTGTAGGACTCCTGAGCTGAAGCGAAGATGGTGACACTCAAGCAAGAACCTTCTGTCCCATCAACTAGAGGTGATCATACTAAGTGAAGTAAGTCGGAAAGAGACAAACACCATATGATGTCACTTATATGTGGAATCTAAAATATGGCACAAATGAACCTATCTACGAAACAGAAACTGACTCATAGACATAGAGAACAGATTTGTGGTTGTCAAAGGGGAGGGGAGGTGGGGGAAAATGGAGTGGGGGTTTGGGATTAGCAGATGCAAACTATTATATATAGGATGGATAAACAACAAGGTCCTAATGTATAGTGCAGGGAACTATATCCAATCTCCTCTGATGAACCATAATGGAAAAGAATATAAAAAAGAATGCCTATATGTGTGTAACTGAGTCCCTTTGCTGTACAGCAGACATTGGCACAGCACTGTAAATCGGCTTTACTGCAATAAAAGGAAAATTTTTAAAAAAGAAGAACCTTCTGTCCCAGCTTCTTTACAGCACGAAAAGGTTTCCTGCTTAGCACTCATTCTTCACAACAAGAGTACTTTCTCAGGATCTGGTTGAATGACCCTGCAGGAAATGTCCTGGATGGCTTCCTCAGCCCCTAACCTGGACCTGGAAGTTCCCAGTGTTGATTCTAGTGCCTTATTTCATTCTTTCCTGATCCTCTTTGTTTTCTACCCTTGCTGCCCACTTTGGCCCACATTTCCTTATATTTATTTTCTGGAATACACAGAGAGTGAATCTTCTGCTTCATACAGCATCAAGGATAAGAAATAGAAGAAAAAGAGAAAGGGAGAGTTGCATCACAAAACAAAGATGGTTTTCATTTACATTCCGGAATTTTGGACACATGTGATCTGGAAGGTTTCCTTGCTTCCTTCCCTGTTTTATCTCGGGTTTTCTGCATTCTGTATTTAGGCGTGTTGCCCTGAGCTAGGAGAAAGCCCTTACTGAACCCACTTCCTGGTCTCCTACATCTTTGCATTCTCAAAGAAAAACACACAAGTCCCTTCACACCATGGGATACAGAAAGGGGACAACAAATACAAGACATGCAGGTAACTTGTAAGTATGTGATGCTTTCAATCACATTCTTTTGTCTCTTTTCCCTGATTTTTTTTAAAAAGAAAATGTCTAAACCTGGGTGCTTCTAGAACTTTCCTTTTATTATTAAGGGTAGACTTCAACACCTCAATTTTTTTTTCTGTCTCTTGAATAAAAATCAGTGGCATGCTGACTCTGACTTGGGATGTGCTCTTTTCAGAGAGCTATCAGGACAAAGCCATTGTAGTGGAAAAGATGTATTTCTGAGCCCCGCCCCCACCCAGATAGTGTGACAAACTGTCTGTCATGAGAGAATCCTGTGTGGACCTTACCTTAGCAGAAAACAGAGAAAATGCTGGGAAACAAAAGGGAATGCATGAATACACTGATCTAAACGATTAAGTACCCTGCAGCTAGAAAAAAATGAGAAGCTCTCTGTACCCTCCTATGGAATAACCTCCAAAATATATTTGGAGCAAGGTACAGGAGAGTATGTGTAGTATACAACATTTTGCTTAATAAATTAGAGGAAGAGAATAAGAATATCTAGCTATACCCATTCTATTCCATTCTATTCTACTCACATGTGTATATAGAAACAATGGAAGCTTTGTAAAACTGGTTGCCTAAATGACAATGAGAAAATATCTTGTAACGAACAGATTTGAAAGCTTGACTTGTCTGAATATCTTATTTAATCATTTTAAATTGAAGAACATTCAAATATTTTATGTAATCAAAAATTTATGGGGCTTCCCTGGTGGCGCAGTGGTTGAGAGTCCGCCTGCCGATGCAGGGGATACGGGTTCGTGCCCCGGTCTGGGAAGATCCCACATGCCGTGGAGCGGCTGGGCCCGTGAGCCATGGCCGTTGAGCCTGCTCGTCCGGAGCCTGTGCTCCACAATGGGAGAGGCCACAACAGTGAGAGGCCCACATACCGCAAAAAAAAAAAAAAAAAAAAAAAAATTTATGTTTTTATATCACTAAACACTAAATATGGTGTGCACCAGTAAATTAATTAATTGATTAATTTATTCGGCAAACACATATTAAAAACCCCTTTTATATTAGGTACAACTTTATTTTTTTTTCTTATTAGTCGTCCATTTTATATACATCAGTGTATACATGTCAATCCCAATCGCCCAATTCATCACACCCCCACCCCCACCCCTCCACCACTTTCCCCCCTTGCTGTCCATATGTCTGTTCTCTACATCTGTGTCTCAATTTCTGCTCTGCAAACCAGTTCATCTGTACCATTTTCTAGGTTCCACATATATGCATTAATATACAATATATGTTTTTCTCTTTCTGATTTACTTCACTCTGTATGATAGTCTCTAGATCCATCCATTGGGTCTCTACAAATGACCCAATTTCGTTCCTTTTTATGGCTGAGTAATATTCCATTGTAGATATGTGCCACATCTTCTTTATCCATTCATCTGTCGATGGGCATTGAGGTTGCTCCTATGACCTGGCTATTGTAAATAGTGCTGCAATGAACATTGGGGTAAATGTGTCTTTTTGAATTATGGTTTTATCTGGGTATATGCCCAGTAGTGAGATTGCTGGATCATATGGTAATTCTATTTTTAGTTCTTTAAGGAACCTCCATACTGTTCTCCATAGTGGCTGTATCAATTTACATTCCCACCAACAGTGCAAGAGGGATCCCTTTTCTGTACATCCTCTCCAGCATTTGTTGTTTGTAGATTTTCTGATGATGCCCATTCTAACTGGTGTGAGGTGATACCTCATTGTAGTTTTGATTTGCATTTCTCTAATAATTAGTGATGTTGAACAGCTTTTCATGTGCTTGTTGGCCATATGTATGTCTTCTTTGGAGAAATGTCTATTTAGGTCTTCTGCCCATTTTTGGATTGGGTTGTTTTTTTTTTAATATTGAGCTGCATGATCTGTTTATATATTTTGCAGATTAATCCTTTGTCCGATGATTCATTTGCAAATATTTTCTCCCATCCTGAGGGTTGTCTTTTCACCTTGTTTATGGTTTCCTTTACTGTGCAAAAGCTTTCAAGTTTCATTAGGTCCACTTGTTTGTTTTTTTTTGTTTTTATTTCCATTACTCTAGGAGGTGGATCAAAAAATATCTTGCTGTGATTTATGTCAAAGAGTGTTCTTCCTATGTTTTCCTCTAAGAGTTTTATAGTGCCTGGTCTTACATTTAGGTCTCTAATCCATTTTGAGTGTATTTTTGTTTATGGTGTTAGGGAGTGTTCTAATTTCATTCTTTTACATGTAGCAGTCCAGTTTTCCCAGCACCACTTATTGAAGAGACCTGTCTTCCCTCCATTGTTTATCCTTGCCTCCTTTGTCATATATTGATGACCACAGGTGCATGGGTTTATCTCTGGGCTTTGTATCCTGTTCCATTGATCTATATTTCTGTTTTTGTGCCAGTACCATATTGTCTTGATTACTGTAGCTTTGTATTATAGTCTGAATTCAGGGAGTCTGAGTCTTCCAGCTCCGTTTTTTCCCCTCAAGATTGCTTTACTCTTTGGGGTCTTTTGTGTCTCCATACAAATTTTAAGATTTTTTGTTCTAGTTCTGTAAAAAATGCTATTGGTAATTTGATAAGGATTGCATTGAATCTGTAGATTGCTTTGGGTAGTATAGTCATTTTCACAATGTTGATTCTTCCAATCCAAGAACATTGTATATCTCTCCATATGTTGGCATCATCTTTAATTTCTTTCATCAGTGTCTTACAGTTTTCTGCATGCAGGTCTTTTGTCTCCCTATGTAGGTTTATTCCTAGGTATTTTATTCTTTTTGTTG